TTATTGTAAATAGTTATTTTTTCTCCTCTTTGCGTTATGTTCATTTAAGTGGATTTCACAGGCTGAAAGTAGTACTTTTACTTAATAGCATTAGCCATGGTTTCATCTCATTTACTTACATTTTCAGATGAATTTTAGCTTTTTAGTTAATTTTGTGGGTCCTCCTAGATTTCCATGCTATACACAGAAAGGATATTTTCTTTTCTTTTTTTTTTCTTGTCATAGAAATTAGTATTTATCTTCTGTCTGTCAAACCCTGAACCAACTGTTTTCCCAGAAGAAGCATGGGAGCAAATTACAGGAGGTAGAGGTAGTTAACTTCCTGACCTGGTGAAGAGGATGAGAAAGGTCACCATCAGGCTAACGAGCCCTGGGCCTCTGAGAAGGCAAAGCTCAGAACTGCATGGGAGCAGAGCTGCTGCTTCAGAGATGGGACCCTGGCATAACCAGCCATAAGGCCCCCAAAGATAGTCCCCATCCCAGTCACAGAGCCAACCATACCACACAGTGGCAGCCCCAGTGAACTTGACTGATGTGTCAGTATCCCTGGAGATGGCACTGGTGTGGAAGCTGCAGCTTGAGTCAGGAGACCCAAAGTTGCCCTGTTTCTCAGGCGTCATCTGATATTGTCTCCTGGCTTTTGAGCACCATTGCAGACTGGTTGGCTCAGTAGCCGTGTGGTACTTCTGACAAAGGCAGGCAGACTTTTTCAAGAGTGTGAGGGACTGTCACATACAAGCTGATCCCAATGCAGACAGAAAGAATATTTTTGTCCCTTTATTTCTGATGTTTATTCTCCTTTTTTTTTTGGTTTTGTTTTTCATATTTTTTGGTGATCTCAGGAATCTTCAACTCAATGCTTCTTTCTCCAGTGATGGGTAGAGGAGAGAGAGATGCTGCCAAGCATCCTGCAGTTCACAGGTGAATCCCCCACAGTGGTTCTTGGGCTCACAAATCAGGAGTGTTGCTTTTGAGAAATCCTGCTGTAGGGGTGCTAGATTTTGTCATTTCCGTGGTACAGATAAGGAACTGTGAGTTGGGAAGTGAAGCGAGGCCTCCATGCCTTCCAGAGTAGCTCAGCATAGACTGCATTGAACACTAGCATGAATACCCAATGCTGGATTTAAAAGCTTCTGAAATGGTAAGAAATGCCTTTTGAAAGCATTGTTCCTCCTCGACTTCCCACCCACGATACGCAGGAGTAGACGCTGTGTGGGTACATAGGTACTGCAGCAGGATTTGGAAGAGTTTTCTGGAGGATTGTCTACTGGTGAAGGGCCCGATTTTTAGGGTGTCTGTTTAGGAAATGTGCTCGTCAATGAGATGGGGGAGAAATCTGATTTTGGTAATGTATGGCATTCCTTGCAAAAGTCAAGTTAGGTATCTGGTGGGAGGCTATTAGGGAAGGAGATACCAAAAATATGCTGCTGAGCTTGGAAGATGAATTGTATGCTCAGTGACAGAAATAACTGAGAGCTTTGGGGTAAGAGGGCACAGATTTCATCTTGCTTCTGGTTTGGATGAAGCAGTACATCATCCAGTCGGTCATCGTTTGATCACAGGTGTTAGTGTCTCAGCTCATCAAGGGCGTTGATTGATCAGCAGTTTCCATGCCCCTGTAATGCTGAGAGAAGAAGCATAAAGAGGTTGAGGTGCATAGTGGCTAAGAGCAAGGATCCTTGAGTTAGTCAGCCTTTGAATCCAGACTCTGCAAATCACCAATTTTATATCCTTGGGAAATCTGTGAACTCCTGGAGCCCAAGTTTCCTTATCTATAAAATAAGTCTAGTACTAATTGCATTGTCTGCATTCAATGAGTTAATGTTTGTACAGCATACAGCACTTGAGACACGAGGTGTTACCTATTAATGTTATGACCACCAGTGTTTACCTGTTTCCCTTCATGCTTATACACATTTTCTACAGCTGCTGAAAATGTTCCTTTGTGTCTTTTGCTGTTGGTGCCACAGGGGAGATGTTTTCATTTTTGTTTCAGTTAGCCAATGTATTTTGCGAGTCTGTTGCACAACAGGATCCAGATGTGGGGCTGGAGCGATGTCCAGCAGCATGAGGCTTGACTCACTGTTTCAGATGAGTGCTTGGCAGGGCTGGCAAATGCTAGGTTCCTCTTAAGCAGCATATATATATATAAATATATGTGTGTGTGTACACACACATTATTTTACTTATAAGGGCAGAAGGGGAGGAGAGGGAGGGAAAAAGAGCGAGAGATTGAAAGAGAGAGACCTGCTTTCTGCTGGCTCACTCCTTAAATACCCACAACTAGAGCTGAGATAAGTCTAAACTGGTCTCTCATGTGAGTGGCAGGGACCAGCTACTTGAGCTTTCACTGTTTACTTCCTAAGGCACACGGAAGCAGGGAGCCGGATTCAGGAGTAGGGCTGGGACTCAAAGCCAAGTACTCTGATATGGGATGCAGGCATCGCAAGTAACGTATTAACTGCTGAGCCAAGTGCCTGCCCCTTAGGTGGCATATCTTAACAGGAATGTGCCACAAGCATAGCTCTGTGGGAGGCAGGATGGTAGCTATTAAAGCCCAAATTTAGGGGCCAGGAACTCTGAGCTGAATACTGGTGCATTACCATGTTATAGCTCAAAACTTTTCCAAATCTCTTTCTTCCCATCTAAAATGGAAATGCTACAGCCTTTCTCACAAGATTGTGGTGAATTAAAAACCAGAGATGAGATATAAACAAATCCTGAATATATTATTAACAGTGTTTTATGAACACTGTTGCAATGACTACGTAATGTATTGTCAAGTAGATGTACCATTATTTAGTCATGTCCCTATTGTGCAATTAAATTGTTTGATATTGTGTAGTTACAATATATCATTGAATAAGTAAAGTCATGTGTACAGCTTTTTGATATTTTAAATTTAGTTCCCTAGGATAAATTCCCAGGAATATTACTCAGGCAAAGGGAGATAAACATGACTTTTGAATACACGCTGCCAAATTGCTTTCCCAAAGGGCTCAGTTGATTTGTGTCTCTGTTCTTTATTTTATAAACTTCAGTTCATTTCTTTATGAAACAGACATTTCTGAAGTTCTTATCATGTGGGGACATAGTGAGAAGTGACAGAAGGGAGAAGCTCAAGGATAAATAGGGCCCCTGCTGCACCAAGTGCTGATAAAGGCATGGGGACCAGGGGACCTTGGAGAAGGGACTTGCAGGCAGGAAAGCTCATTTTCAGTGTCATGGTTGTATTCCTTGACAGAAAAAGAATGGCTTTCTCCTGTCTTTATGGAGCTATAACTGAAAAACAAACATTGTAGACATTTAAGAAATGTAACAAGATGTGTGTATATATATATATACATATATATATATATATACACATATCAGTTTAAAAAATGAATTGCAGAATTAAAATGCTATTCTCTATGAAAAATAAAAGGACATTTGTACCTGGTATACAATGCCCACGTTATGATATTTTCCTGTGTGTGTTATTATGTTTGTATACCTCTTCTTCCTTAAAAAACAAAAAGACAAATAAACAAACCAGCTCAATGCCATCAGTAAGCTTGGAGAGTTCAATGTGTGCTGCCTCTTTGGGATTTACAAGAAAATGTACTAATGCTGCCTGAATTTTTGGTCTTGGGGACCCAATTGCCAATGTGTTTCTTCCAGAGTGGGGGTTCATTTGCTTATTTTCTTTGCCTGTTCAACTACTTTTTTTTAAAAAGAAAGATTTATTTATTTTTTATTGCAAAGTCAGATATATATAGAGAGAGGAAAGACAGAGAGGAAGATCATCCATCTGAGAGTTTAATGTGAAACTCTACTAGAAGTCTTTTGAAATTAGAAACTGATTCTTTAAAATTGTAGACATCAGACATCAAATGAAAAAACAAATTACCGACCCCTTCCCACCCCAAATCTGAAGCAGCAGCCTAGCTGAAAGGTTGGATAATGATCTGATCATGAAGTAGAATATACCAAGCACACGTTATCAGCCTGTTTTAAGCAAATATATTCTTTAAAATATTTATTTTTGATTGGAAAATCAGATACACAGACAAGAGGAGAGACAGAAAGAAAGATCTTTTGTCTGCTCATTCATTCCCCAATCCAAAGTCAGGAGCAAGGAGCTTCTTTTGCGTCTTCCACATGGGTAAAGGGTGCAAAGGCATTGGCCGTCCTCAACTGCTTTCCCAGGCCACAGGCAGGGAGCTGGAAGGGAAGCAGGACATCTGGTATTAGAACCGGTACCCATATGGGATCCCAGAATGTGCAGTAACCACTAGGCTGCTGGGCCAGTGCCTTAAGAAAATGTTTTATGTGTGGAAGATGCTCCTAGTATGATATTGAGGTTGTGATGCAGAAGCTGGTGATAGCAGCAGGGCTAGAGGAATACACTTGGGGAAGTCCAGGAGAAGGGCTTCTAACTCAGGCTGTAATCTCAGTAAAGCAAATGCTGGAACACTGGAGCCCATTCCCTTCATCTGACTGCACATTAGTACCCATCACCGGATCTCCTCCCATTCTGCCGTCCTCCCCGGGCTCTGGTAGTCGCTATTTTAGATTTATATGTGTTCATATTTAAAATTTGACATGTAACTGTAGCCTGTGATAAAGGAAATAGAAGGGCTAATTAACTTTTTTTTTTACTATATCTGTTGAAATATTGCCCTATATCCCTATAAAATACATATGTATTTTATGTTGTTCATAATTTATAAAATAAAATTAAAAAGAAAATTATGCACAATTGAGTCATGAAAAATGAGTGAAGGGAGCCCAGTGATGCAGGGTGGGAAGTTTTTTCCTTATTTGAGATGTACAAGTATAGGATGGTGTGTTAGTGGGTCAGCACTGCAGAATTCAATGTAATTAAAGCTTAGATGTTGAGGGGAGGGGTGGAGAATTGATCAATTGTTAATGAACTTTTCAGTGGATTTCCCAAAGCATAGTAGCATAGGTGTCCCGTGACTTTAAAATCACAGTGCTCTATCTTATTTTGCCCCCAGTGTCAGCTCTTGCTGGAAGTGGCCTGGCCTCTGTTTATCTTCTTGATCCTGATTTCTGTCCGGCTGAGCTACCCGCCCTATGAACAACATGAATGTAAGTATTTGTGGATTGAACCTGAGATTAACTATAGGCAAGCCAAATCCAGACAGTGAACATGGCTTTACCTGACTTTTTCAAAGACAGTGTCTTTAGGAAAGACCACAAAATGTAGGCTTCAGATTTTTGGGATAAGGTAAGAACTTGGGAGACTATTTTCAGTCCTAGTGAATGGTGATAATAGTAATTATCATGATACCCAACATTTGTTTCAGGCATTTTAAATCATGAAAATAAAATAACCTTAGTAAAAGTTTAGAAAGTAGTGATTTAGAAGGACGTTAAGGCATTGCCTTTATACAATTGCCTCGTTCCCGCCAGCCAGGCTTTGCCATATGGATGATGTCTTATACAGTTGCAATTTTAACATCTAATTTTAAGCAGCGTTTATGTAGATTTTCACAGTTTGATGAATATTATTTCAATTGATGCTCATAACCTTGTATAGTAGACCTTATTATCATTTGCTTTACTTTAAAAAAGTTTAAAAATATTTTTTAAGCAGAATGAGAGATAGACCAATAGACAACAGAGATCTTCCATCAACTAGTTGATTCCCCAGATGTCTGTAATCACTGGATCTACACCAGGCTGAAGCCAGGAGCCTGGAACTCAGTCTGGATCTTCTGGGGGGGGGGGAGGGTCTGAGTGCTTGAGTGAACATCCACAGTCTACCCAAGAACACATAGGAAGAAGCTGAAGTCAGGAACAGACCTGGATATTGATCCTAGTCTCTCCAATATGGGATATAGGCATCTTAACTACTGTATAAGCACTCACCTCTTTAACTTGTTGTTAGCAAATGGCAGCTCAGAATCCTGGAATTGCCTAGGGTCTTACATGTCCTAAGTGGTAAAATGAAATAAAACTCACTCATTGTCAATCATGTGTTTTGATGCTAGCCTTTACAGGCGGAGAAAGTTTAATTGTGACTAAGGACAGAAGCTGTACATTTCAGATGATCTGGGTTTGAATTCTGGTTTTAGAATTCACTAGACATACATCCTTGGCAGGTGACTTTAGCTTCTTTTAAAAAGAACTTATCTCATATACTTGTTGCCAGGGTTATCATTGCACAATCATGGACTTATGGATGGGCTTGATGGATAGATTGACATTGAAGAAACACACATCTAAAGGATGGATTTTATGTGGGATTTGCAGCTGGGACCTTGGTTTCATTGTCCCAGAGACTTTTCCTAATACTGCCTAATTCTGCTCACAACCCTACCATACCTGTTGTCTTACAGGATACTGTTATTCCAGGAAAGCAATGCAGCTCATAGTTCCGATGATTTATGTTGATAATATGCACCGTACAAGTTAGGCATATACACATACAACCTTAATAACATTCCCTAAGACATAATTTTCTGATTGTACCAAAAAAGAAAGTAGCATAAAATGAAATATATACCTGGTTTAATGGTCCAGTGAGTAGCCTCTGCTTTCTCTTTTGGAACCTGAGAGACATTTTTTTTTTCTTGATGAGCAAATGTTATTTGATTTTATTTAAGCATTTTCTTGAACCTCACAGAAATATATGTTTTAGGGTAAATTTTAGCTTTTTTTTTTTTGTCAGTGAGGCCATTTACTTTCTGGGCTGATCACAAGAATCAAGCAATGTGGTGTAGTGGAAATACACAGATTTTGGCATCACACAAATTGGGTGGATCCTGTTTCTTCCACTTACTGGGATGACACTCTTGAAGAACTGAATTTTGAGCCAGCTCCCTCTGATTTCAGACCAGAGATTTTCATGAACACTGAAGTTATTTTATGGCTGCAAGGCAGATTAACCTTTTCCTATCCATCCATGCACTGCTTGCAACCTTACCCTCTTTTTTTCTTTTTCACAGATTTATTATTATTATTATCATTAAATTAGAAAGGCAGATTTTACAGAGAGAAAGAGAGACAGAGAAAAAGATCTTCTGTCTGCTGGTTCACTCCCCAAGTGGCTGCAAGGCTGGAGCTGAGCTGATTCAGAGCCAGGAGTTGAGAGCTTCTTCCAGTTTTCCATGCAGGCACAGGGTCCCAAGGCTTTGGGCCATCCTCATTGTTTTCCCAGACCACAAACAGGGAGCTGGATGGGAAATGGAGCAGCTGGGAAATGAACTGGTTCCCAGGTGAAGCCTGGTAGATGCAAGACTGGGATTTAGCTACTAGGCTACCTTGCTGGGCCATATGTTTTGTTTTTAACACTTTCTAGGGATCTGTTTAGAAGAACATAATTGAAAGTTAAGGCAAAACTTGCAGAGATATCTTGTTTCTAGAACAAGAAGCTGTAAAATTATTCATGTAAATCTTTCGCAGTTCAACTCAGAGCCATTATGGTCTTAACATGCTTGGATCCTAGAATTTCATCATGCTATATACACTTGAGAAGTAATATCATCATGCTATTTGATTATCATCCTAGACCCTGAATACATCCTGCTTGCGTATGCATTTAAGATGGGGCATAATAAACAAGGAAGGGTTTTGCTTCCTCCACTAAAGGACAGCCTAAACTGCCTCACCATCACTGCCCTTTGTTGCCTTTGACCTACATGACCCTGACCTCAGCACTAGCATCTCCTGGAGATACAAAGGGTAGAATCCTTGGAGTATTTGGTTTGCTTACAGAAATCTTTCTGAATGAGAAGTAGCTGACTTAGGCAAGGGACCTTATTTGGTTTTCCTTGAACTATTAACAAAGAGATAAAGAGATCAGCAGAGTAAATGGTCAACAGAACAGAGTCCCTGCAGAGAGCGGCTCCAGTGGTCACATCCCATCATATCCTTGCTTTGTGTGTTACAAGGTGGATAGAAGAAAAAATAATGAACCAGCCTGATACAGAAAGGCACAGGGCAGCAAGTCCTGGATTTGGGTTACCTTGCGGGGGAGACTGTTGGAAAGGTGAATGAAATAGGCTTTCTACTTGAGAGCAAGGTGGTAGCCATGAGATGGAAGGAGGCTCATCTCCTGAGTCTATCCTCTGCTGGAGACTATGCAAAAGTGCTCGGCTGCTGAGACCTCACGTGTAAAGTAGACACAGCTTGGTGAGGAGTGCTCGGCTGCTGAGACCTCACGTGTAAAGTAGACACAGCTTGGTGAGGAGTGCTCGGCTGCTAAGACCTCACGTGTAAAGTAGACACAGCTTGGTGAGGTAGATTTTATTTTCCTCATCATTTTACAGTTGATAGAGCTGAGGATTTGGGAGTCAGTAACTTGGCCAAGGTCTTAGCCTGTTGCAGACTGTTCATGAATTCCAACTGGCCTGACCCCAAAGCTTGTAGAGTCTGAAAACTGGGCTTCTTACAGGCTGAGAGTTCTTTTGGCTGAGAATGTGGTGCCAACTGGAACCACAGCCCTTTCCCCCCAGATATATTGTTCTTTGGGTTAAGAGCCCCTGGCTCAGGGCACATTATCTTGGTCCTTGTGCACAGCAGCTATAGATGACTGCCCCAAATCACATTGTTCTTGAAGCTCAGGCCCTACTCAAATATGCCCAATCATTCTGTTTGGAAGACCCTCTGGAAGGAAGTGAGGAGATGACCTGGTAGATGCCGCCTCCTGGTTTTGTTAGTGACAAAACCATGATATCTAGAAAACAAAGATGTCTGACGCCAAGGTAGTATTTTTTTTTAGGTATTCTTGAGCCATTGAACTAACACAGGAAGTGAGACTAAGAAATGTTTGACAAATTAGGAGCCAGCATAGGATAATTCTCTACGTGATAGGGCTGGCATCCCCTGTTGTCACTGGTTCATTCACTGGCTGCTCCACTTCTGATTCTGATCTCTGCTTGTGGCCTAGGAAAACAACGGAGCATGGCCCAAGTCCTTGGACTCCTGAACTCATGTGGGAGATTAGGAAGCAACTTCTGGTTCCCAGCTTGGGATCAGCTCAGCTCTGGCTATCGCAGCCATTTGGGGAGTGGATGGTAGACCTCTCTCTTTCTCTGTTTCTCCTTCTCTCTCTGTGAAGTCTGCCTTTCAAAGAAAAATAAATAAATTTTTAAAGAAAAAAAACCCAAAAGGCAGAAATGTTTTTGACAAATTGAGAAGATTCCCAAAAGGAATTGAGGAGAGTGATGAAAGAGGCTTCAGGTAGGGGTTATTAGGTAGGGGTTGGGTTAGGATCACAGGAATGCAGGTTCCGTTCCAAGTTGTGCTGATGGACTCTCACCAGAGTGCTTTTTATTGACCACAGTATGTTACTGTAGCTCCCTCCTTAGAGTGTGACAATGAATTAGGTCATCCCCAGTCCCTGTTCCTCCCCCGAACACACTCACCTCCCTCTCCATGTGAGAGGTGAGGTTGGCAGAAGATGAACTAATGCTGATCAAGCACTTAATGCTTCTTCAAGGTTGGCATCGCAAACTCCATACTACACATGATGTCAGGTACATTTAGAAGTGATATCTGATGCCAGATTTCTTTCTAACTCAGTCTTGGGTTAGTCCAGAGGAGGGAGGTGTCTGGGATGTGGGGAATGGGGTAGACAGGGTTGGGATGAAGCATTATTATGGGTGGAGTCTCAAAATCACCTCAAAACATTGGTGTTTCTTATTGTGTTTCTCCTCTTGATTTCAATAGGCCACTTTCCAAATAAAGCCATGCCCTCCGCAGGAACACTTCCTTGGGTTCAGGGGATTATCTGTAATGCCAACAATCCTTGTTTTCGTTACCCAACTCCTGGTGAGGCTCCTGGAGTGGTTGGAAACTTTAACAAATCCATGTAAGTACAAGATAAGATCCTGTCCCCCCCCAACTTGTTAGTTAATATTTATCCTTTCCTTCTTGTCTTTCCTAGAGAGTTTTGAATGACGGGATTTGACGAAGTTGCTTTTGTAAATACACAGAATCATGATATGAGCTAGAGTGAGCTAAGGACTGTAGGGTGTGTTGCATGACAATTCTGAGGGAGTTATAACCAGGGCAGGCAGCACCATGTTACATTGTTCATTTCCCATAAGCTCTGTAACCTTTATGGGCCCCTTTTCAATAAAAAATTACACATTGTAGGCTATCATTGCATTGATATAAAGGGAATATAAGCCAAGTTGGATTCATTATTTTACATATATTCCTTTTGTTTGTATTTTTATTCTGATTTTGAAAAAGATATAAATATTCTCCCCCCCCCCCCCAAATGTCCTGGAATCTTGACATCATGCCCACTCTGTCTTAAACAGCTTGGTTCTGGGGGGAATGTGTGTGTGTGATGACCTGAGTCTTGACAGCTGCTAAAATTTGCCTGGGGAAGAGCATTTGGGGCAGGGATAATGGGTAAGTGGGTGGGAACATTGATTTTCAGTGGAATTGGTTGTGGGGAGCAGTAGCCTCAGTGAGGGGCTGTCTGTTGAGAGCCCTTTTGGGGCACATATACTTGGCAGCCAATTCCATAAATCAGCAGAGGCAGCTGGCCTAACCTGTACTTTTCTACTTTTCTGGGATGCTTTCCAGTGTGTCTCGCCTCTTCTCAGATGCCCGGAGGCTTCTTCTGTATAGCCAGAAAGACACCAGCCTGAAGGACATACACAAAGTTTTGAGAACATTACAGCAGATCAAGAATTCCAACTCAAGTAAGCTCAAACCTGATGTGCATGAGTTTTGCATTGGGCATTGACCTGTACCAGGGCAAAAAAGGGTGGTCCAAATGGGCCAGGGCTGGTTCCTGTTAGCACTTTCTAAAAGGTGTTCCAGCTCAGTGGATAGGTTGCAGAGCCTCCCTGTAGGGGACATTGGGGCAAATACTAGGGAAATTGGTTGCATTGGCTTTCCCTTGGGAAGGGAAGAAAACAAGACGAAACTAAGAGCAGTGATGCATGCTCCATGGGAGGGGTAGCTAAGGGTGCAGGTTTCTGTCAACTTTTTTTTTTTTAATTGGCCATATGGTTGCTAAGAATGGGTAAATTTATAGAAAGGAGATACTTCTATGTATAGAAGAGTAAGTACATTTGCAACTTGGTGTGGAGAAGTGAAAGCTAAGTGTTTAAGAAGAAAATGTAAATCCTCTTCCTGCTAGTCATTTTATTTGATCTGATGGGTGTTTGAATGTTGACCTTTCCAAGTGAAATCTGCCTCTTCTCTGGTACCTGTCCAAGTGACTTATTGCATGCCACTGAGGGACGTGTCTGAAGAGCAAGCAGGGGGCTTGCTGACTGAGGGACTGACTGCAGGAGACACTGGGCAGCCTCCCAGGAAGTGGCTTACCACAGGGACAGCAGTGACAGTGGCTGGTTAGAGCTGTCTGCCCACTTCAGGAGAATTTGAAAGCAACAGTGACACTGACTAAATGTTGATCTACTTTTTATTATCACTATAAACCAGAGATACTAAATAGTGCCAATGACAATGTCCTCCCCAAGGTGGACTAACTGCCACTGTGTTGGAAGTATGGTTTACTCGGTTTGGTATTTGGGGTGGCACAGCCTGGACTGGACTTTCCGGGAGGAACATTGCTGTGCTTAGGCTGCTGGGTCAGCTGCAATGAGATTTTTGGCTGTAGGACCCAGCCTTTGGGATGCTATTTGCTTGACCTGCAGGCCCTAGCCCTGCACATGTATGTCTGCTGGTACAGAAGATGGAAGAAGTGGCACAGCTAGTCAAAGCCTCCATCCCTGGTCCCCTGAAGGGCTCCTGTCTGACCAGAGGCAGAATCAGGGTTATTTCTTCTGTCATGACAGACAGTGTGGCTAAGAAGAAAGAGTGCTAGGATCTGTTACTTCGGGCTATGTGACTTTGTGAGTAAGTCAATTAGACCCTTTGGGGCCACCTCTTCTCATTTTTGAAGTGGGGATAATCTAAAAACCCATCTAGATTAGTATAAGGAATACATGAGATAAAACATTTTCTTGCTTAAAAGTAGTATTTGGCATAGAGGAAGTACTTAGTAAATACAAATATTATTTTGGAATGGTGACATCTCAACCAAGCCATTGACCCTCTCAGAAACTTAATTTCCTCAGTTATAAAATAATGCCTAACCTATAATCTAAAATGGAAATGTGAAACCTGTCACAATGCTGAGCCCCCATTTATTGAAGATGCTCCATATTCTTATACAATAAGAATTAAGAATATTGAGAACATGGCCTTTTTTTTTCTGCCTCAGTTTGTGCACCTGTTGAAACAGATGAGCTGATGGTGGTGAATCGTCCAACAGAGTTTTAGATCTTAGTGCAGGCTGCCTTCTTTGAGCAGCCAGAGAATGACTAATGGTAGGCAGTAAAAGCAAAACCTGTGTCCAGAAAACACCTGTGTGCACAACTCTGAAGAGAAGCTTTCTAAATTTCTTTTTTTCTTTCTTTCTTAAATTTGAGAGTTGGGAAGATAGAGTCACAGACAGACCACTTGTCTGCCAGTTTTCTCCTGCATTGGCCAGAGCTGAGCCAAGCTGAAGCTGGGAAGCAGAAACTCAATCCAGATCTCCCATATGTGTGACAAAAACCCAACTGCAAGGGTCATCCCCTGCTGCCTCCTAGGGAAGTGGAGTAGGACTCAGATCCAGGCACCCTGATATGTAATGTGTCGTCGTGGATAGCTTGGCCCCAGTCCGAGTGCTTTTCTTTAGCTTTTGATTTTGATTGTGTTGTGCCAAGTGCTTGTTTCCCATTTCTATTTTCTTCGTATGTCCCTCCCTGCCCTGCAGCTATTTCTTAAATTCCTCCCATGTGTCTTTGCTTATTATAAAACACAAAGCCAGATCTCAATCTAATGGAGCATATTTCCTCCTAGAAGAAATAGGTTAACTTTGGGGTGGTTTTTCAATAGCATGTCTAAGATTAAAACGTATTAATGTAGATCCCTGCTTGGGGACCTGTGTTTATCTGCAATGACCACCTATTCATCACCACTCCACTTAGTTAACCTTCTCTCCCATTTCTCTCAATGTGGAGTGATCTTTGAAGTTAGTCTACTGCAGAATGCTTTTCTTCTTGCAACTGTGGTGGAGAGCTGCCTGTTGGAGAGCAACCATGGCCAGAAAGTATTAATGGCCAGAAAGTATTCACTACCATATTATGCCTTCTGAAGAATGAGTCTAATGCTATTTCTCTGAAGTATTTGAAAACAGCTGTAGTATTTTTTCCCTTCCTTTTTTGCAAACCTTTGATTTTCCTAGGAAAAATGTCTTCCACTTCTGTTATGGAATATTTTTTTCTCCCAATTTCTGCTGTCCCTTTTTGTTTCAGTGTATCTGTGTCTTCTTGGAGATTATCAGAAATTACAAATATATTCTGATATGGAGAAGAAAGGGATTTTTACTTCCCTTGCTCTGAGTGCTATATTTCTTTTAATGCAATCTGAGATTGCAATAGGTTTTTTGGCATTCATGTCACCCTGTTGACTCATATTCCATGTGCAGTGAACCAAACTGCAGGCTTTTAAATATACAGAATTGCCAATTACTTGTTCTCCTTTTCTTCATTGTGCTGCTGGCTTTTTGAACCCCAAGCGGGGGTGGGGGATCTCCCTTTTCTATTTTACATTTTCAGATTTCCTGTGCCATCTCATTCCACCAAAACCCAATTAGACTGCAGCTTTTCTGTGGATTATAGCTGTGGCTTCTTCTTGTTTCCTGTTGTCTAGGAATTTGATGAATACCTCTTGGGTCTCCTCTGAGTGGTAACTTCAGCCCTCTACGTCTTGGAGACTAATGAACTCTTTGAACACTAGCACATTCTTGCAAATTCACCAGCCTTCAGACTCCTGATTCTGTGATCTATGTGGGAGATTTATTTTCTTTATTTCACTTGCATCTCTTAATTCCACTGGGCTATCCAGATGATTTTTGGGCATGGATGTCTTGACTAACTAAAACATTCAGTTTTAGTTTTATGGCTTCCTGTACTGTAGAATTACTGTATTTCCTTTAGTTTCAGAGGCCTTAGAGGAATGCACATCATTTATAGATACATTGTTGATGGACTCAATCTGTCAATGTTTATTGAATGCCTCGTGAGTGCCAACCACTGTTCTAACTGCTGAGACACAGGAGTTTATAGGATAAATACAGCCTTTGTCCCTATGGATCTTCTAAGGAAGAGGTTGACCCAGAAAGAGGAAGTGACTTTCCTGAGTTTGTACAACCATGGGTGGGATATTCCTGGAATGGAACACTGCTAAACCTCTTTTGCTGCATGCCTTTCTCTTCCTGCAGTACCATCTTGTGCTGTTTAACAAACTTCCACCCCAGAAGGCCCCTCTCGTGGTAAGAATTAGTCATGTAAAAATCTCATAATTATCTTCCAAGCCATTCCAATGAGAAATCTAAAGGAAGCCTTACAGAGGTCCCGTACTCAGTTTTCTCATTACTGAAGCATTTTGGACATTTTCTTATTTTCTTGATAAACCAGAGGGCCATCATATGGGCTGGTGGCTAAATTAGTTTTTGAGAATCAGAGTGAGGAACATTCGTTTTTTTAAAATCCCTATCGTGATGGCAACGAAATGTGAATACAAAACTGGAAAAGTTCTTGGGAACGCTATAAAAAATAGCCTGCCTAGGTTTAGGCTGCCTGAGATGCAGACTGACAGCAAGGAGTGCTTCTCTGGGTTCGCTTTGTGTGCTGTGATGATTCCCAGTGGTAAAAGGATCACAACTCCACTTAGTGTTTATTTGAGAGGCACGGAGAGACCTAGAGAGCTCCTATTCATAGTTTCAGTCCCTAGACACATGCACAACGTTGGTCTGGGCTGGTCCACACCCAGCTGCCCAGGACCTCAATCCACATCTCCCATGTGGGTGACAGGGAACCTACCACATGAGCCAGCTCTTGATGCCTCCCAGGTTGCAGAGCAGCAGGAAGCTGGATTCAGGAATAGTGCTAGGACTCACACTCAGTCCCTCTGATATGGATGTAGGCGTCCCAAGCAGTGTCATAACTACTCAGTCAGAAGACTGCTCCAAGGATGACAACTTCTAGTTTTCACCTGTATCAAATTGTCATTTCATGAATGTGATTGCGTATGAAAATGTTGAATAGTACAAAAAAAAAAAACTAAAGGAATCAACATTTTATATGGATCTGGTCAAGCTTGTTGAAGGTAGTTTTAAATAAAGATTAGAAACACTGACGTACGAGAAGGAGCTTTGGACTTTGTATTAAGGTTCAATTAGGGAACACATTTAGGCTGTATCCTTCATCAAGTGTGACCCTTGGTTAACGTTTGATTTTTTTCCCCCTGACTCCTAGTTTACCTGAATGTAGCTGTCCAAATGGCTGTTGGGACATTAAGTTAGCTAATGTTGTAGCTCAGCTGAGTGGCCGTCCTTTCCTTGGCTGACAGTTTCTGGCTGACTCTTACTCTTTGCCAATTTGTTTGATTTTTTTGGTCCTCAATTTTCCTTGTCTTGAAATTTGTAAAGCAACCTGAAAATTCTTTGTTTTTGAAAGTTGGTCCGTCCTTGGATGGGGAATCACCTGGATATAGCAGGTGTCGTGTGTAGGCTGTGCACCAGTCTGTAGGCCTTGAGAGCAGCTGGGGACTTGTGCGTGATTCTCTCTAAGCATCCACACAGAGCAGGTACATGCAAAGTATTGAGTGAATTTTTGTTTAGAATATAAAATGCCTGTATTTT